TCGATATTGGGGGATGTTATTTTGGGAGTCAGCTTGTTGGGGAGTGTTGGTGTCTGGAATGTATCAAAGCCAGAGGTTAACAATATTTGTATTATATCTATTTTGGTGCTATTGATTTTGGAAAGGAATGGATGTCAGGGGTGACAATGTTGGAGAAGAATGATGTTGGGAGGTATCAGTGTCAGCACACAATAAAGCTGTTGGAATGAAATCAATGTTCGAAGTTCCAATATCAGTGGGTATTGATCTTGGGGAGGCATGTAATATGTATAAATACCTTCAGGGTAAGTATAGGGAGGAAGGGGCCAAACTCTTCTCAGTGGTGGCCAGTGATAGGACAAGGGGTAATGGGTGTAAGTTGAAACACAGGAAGTTCTGTCTCCATATGAGGAAGAACTTCTTTAGTGTGAGGGTGACAGAGCCCTGGAACAGGCTGCCCAGGGAGGTTGTGGAGTCTCCTTCTCCGGAGGTCTTCAAAATCTGCCTGGATGCCACCCTGTGCCACATGCTCTAGGTGTCTCTGCTGGAGCAGTGGGGTTAGACTAGATGATCTCTAGAGATCCCTTCCAACCGTAATGGTTCTGTGATTCTGTGTATTGAAGTCATAGAGTATTGATGTTAGAAGATATTGTCCAGGGTAACAATATTAGTGAGATGTTGATATCAGATAATATCGAAGTCAGTCATAGCAATCAGTGTGGTATCAATATCCAGGGTAATGATATCGGGAGCTGTCAACATAAGGGGAAACTGAAGTCAGACTTTGCAGTTTGGGGAGATATCAATGCCCCACTGACCATCAATAGCATTGATGGTCAATAGCATTGATGGTCAGTGGGGAAACAATGGTGAAGTAGTTACTGATGTTACAGAATTAATGTTGTAAAGCTAGATATCCATGTCTGAGAGTAATGATGTTGGGGGATATCAATTTCAGGCAGGTGTTGATCTCAGGGGATACCAATGTCCAGGGCACTGATGCTGGAGGGGGATCAGTGTCAGAGAGGTATCATTGTGCTGGTGGTGATGATGTTGGGGGAGAGGGGTTGGGGATTACCGCTAGAACATATCTATTTGGAGYGTTATGATGTCTAGGAGTATCCTAGGGATATGCCTAGGGGAACTGTTTTTTTAGAGGTATCAATGTCAGAGTGTATCAAGTTCAGGAACTCATGCACGGTTATGCATAGGTTCATGCATTCATTGATTCTGGGGATCCATATCAGAGACGTATAAATGTTGAGGATGTGCTGATGTTGGGAGTGCTGGTATGTTGATTTCTGGGATATATCCAGATGTCAGGGAGGTATTGATGTGTGGGAGTGCCAATATTGGGGTATTTTTGAGTTAGGGAGTTGTCATTGTTGGGAAGGAATCAATGTCAGAGGATTTTAAATGCCTGGAATATATCCAGATCGATGAGTATGATGCTGGGTATATTGTCTGGGAGTATTGATGTTGTGGAGTTACCAGTGTTCAGTGYTAAAGATTTCAGGGCATAATGATGCCAGGCATATTGATTTCAGGAGAGCATAACTGGGAGGAAATGCTTTGCGTAGTCAATATCAGGGAGTATTGATGTCAAGAGTACTGATGACATGATGGTATCAAAGTAATGGGAAATCAATATTGGGGGTAACAATGTCAGAGGGATATTGGGGGTAACAATTCAGGGATATCAATGTTGGGGAGGAATGTATGTCGCAGGGTGTCAACATCAGGGAGTTATTGATGTCAGGGTGCGTGACCTCACTCTGCTGAGTGTTGGTGTTGGAGGTATAAATGTCAGGAATTGTGAAGGCTAAGATGTACTGATGACAGAGGTATCAATCTCAGCAGGTGTTGCACTAGTAGTCACAGTAAATATCATTTGGAGGCACTATAAATCCAAAASTTTGTGCTGCAAAATCTTTTGGTGTCTAAGCTGTTTGTACTTTTTCACTCCTGCAGTCATACTGTTCTTCCACACAATCCTGCCATTTTCTTTCACTCATCCTGCAGCCCTGCTACTAGGCTGCTCTTGTTCTCCTCCCATACCTCACTCTTCAGGACACAACCTCCATCTGCACTCCACCAATTGGCAGTACTCCATCGCTGCCTCCCGCCTATTTTCCCAGTCAACCCCAGCCTCAATCAGAAGTTTTCAGCATTTTAGCCCTCTTATTTTTTACCTTCACCTGCAAAGGATGAATGAAAGAGGGGCAACTGGTTTTTCACCTCTGAAGCATGGCTGTAGTTAGTGGTTTCTTTCCCTTGAAGGTTCCTTGTGAATTAGTGTCTCCATGTCATCCCCCATACCCTATAGGTATGATGCAGATTTATGATAGCTTTGGATTCTTCTGAGCATTCCAGGTTCCTCTCAAACTTACTTCTCACTTGCGTGCTTTCCTGCAAGTGCAGACTGACAGTCTGCAACTGTGTATTACACTGTGCACTGTTTTCCTTCCTGTGTTCCCCTACTGATTTTACTTTTGCCACATGGCTTTTGGCCTCAGTTRTGGTGAATATGTGCTTGTGTACAATGTATGGCTGTCTGTCACACTTCTCTTTCGAGTCCAAGACATGCTACTTTTTCACAGAGCAACTGTGGTCCAGAAATGCATGTTACCATCTGTGTGCATTCAYCTTCCTTCTCATTTTTCACCTGTGCTATCTGTCTAAGGAGTTGAACTAGACTGTTTTTAGTGAATATTGCTTTTCATTAGATTCTTTATGCTTATCTGTGCTGTACAGGTGAACACTGTTTGAATAGCATGCATTGTGCATTTGCCTAGAAGGTATGTGTTTTTTGACATGGGAATACATGCATGTTCATTACAGCAYGGAGCAAAGCTGAATACATGCAGTGGGTGTTTGCATGGCAATGTTCACAATGGGGTCAGTGTGTGTCATTTAGTGTAAGATATGGCAGAAGATGTACATGTGTGCACAAATATGTCTGTGGAGAGCACAGCATACTATTTCCAACATGAGGTACAGGATGTGCACTCATGGGTGTGTATTTGCTGTGGGAGTGATATTCAGTGACTATTTGATTTGCATCTTCTTTCCTTTTTCCTACATGGGGGAAAGCTTTTGTTTGGCAGCAAAGTCTCTTTTAACTGGTGATGCTGCTGGATTAGAAGACCTCCTGTGAGAGGAAAGCTAAGCAGGCAATGATATCAAAGGTACACAATAAACACATATAAAAATAAACACAACACTCTCTTCCTACCAATCTTGTTGCACTCTTAGGGTCTCTTAGAGCAGGTACTACTAGAGGAGTAAGAGGATGTTGGAAGAGAGAAAAGGGTTTAGTTCATGGAGGGGAGACTATGGTTTAGCAAGGATATATTCCATCAATTCTTGATCTGCCCAAAACATTAGAAGAGAGTCTCAAGTTCCCCTTTCAGGAGTCACCCACCGGCAGATCTCCAGTAGTTCCAGATAGCTCCCTCTGTCAGTGCTTTGTGAACAGTACCCCTAACACTGAGAAATGGTTGGGAGAGATGGAATCTGAGAGAGCAAAGCAAGGTTTCCAGGAGGAAGAAAAAGGACTGCAGATTTGATGGCAGTTGTGTGATATGCCATGTAGGGGGCTGTAAATACTTGGATTACTGAAGTGGGATGCTTTTGCCCCAACACATAACAAAAAGTTATGTTTTCTGAAAACACCTGAGATTCATTGACCTAAAGGATACTGGTTTATGGAAGAGCATTTCAAAGCCAAGCAGCAAGCTAGCAAAGAGGAAGAGAACAGTGACCCAACGGTTTTGTGAATTGGCTCAAGGATACTAAGTTACAGCGTTGTCTGATGTCCTGCTACCTGTAACTGTTTCCATCTGAAAGTCTTTCATGTTACTGAAAGGTACGTGAACGCTGCAGGAGACCGCTCGAAAGAGCAGAGAAAATTTCTGACAAAACAACAAGGTCCCAGCCCTGACAAAGTTAGCTCTAGTTGGACTAAAATAAAAATAAATAGACAGCAGGTGGAGATTATTTTTAATTCTKCTAATAATCCAACACAGCTCTAGCAATGCTCCCATTTGAAAATGGGGTATTAATGATATGTTGCAGCAGCAGCAGAACACTTGTACACCATTTGTTAACAATCCTTTAATTCCCAAAGATCAGTACAACATTCAGTTGACAATAATTGTCCAGAATGCAAGATCAGGAAGAATCAGACTCTTTTTCAAGAAAAATATGAACCAATTCTACCACCTGCAGTTCCAGGCCTGAGCTCTGCTTTGAGAGTCATGCAAGCTCCCAAATGATGGGTCAAGCTCACTGAGTAAAGGCCTATGTCTGCTTAAATGCAACTCAGACTTTCATATCTCATTCTTTAGAGAGCAAGAAGGCATATTCTTTGGATGGGAAATGGATATGCTGGTGTATAGGTAATGAGCATTAATGGTTTTGACCAGCCTCTACCCTGGGGCCTCTCAAACATCAGCCCTGCGGCTCTGCAGCAAGAGCTGTTCAAGGCCTATTCTCTTTGAGACCTTTCCATATCACTCGGGTTCGATTAAAACTCACTCCAATATGGAATGGGAAGATAGGAGGGTGTATGCACATGACAATACAATCACAGGAAAAAAAAAAAAAAAAAAAAACCAAAAAGACACAGGACAGAGGAAATCCAGTATATCCAGTACCTGAAGAGAAGGTGGCAGTGGGGGGTTCCGATAAAGCTGCCCCTCTTGCACAGGCCATTTATTTCCAACTGTGTATGGGGAGGTAGACATTACAGTCAACATTTTGGATCAAACATCTGATTTCCAAATGTGTCTTTATTGATTGATTTAGCTCCATAACATGAACTTTATTTTACAAGATGCTAACCAACAGAAAAAAAAAATCCACAAATACCTTATACAATATTGGACTACCACAAAAACAGAAGCAAATGCCACAACCCAGTTAAAAGAAATGTAAAATAATTATTCAGGAAATCCTATATGTAATAAACAGATGAGATTAGTCCTCTACATCACCTATAAACCCAGCTGTGGGAGGAAAGAGCAGGTCTGAACACAAAGTCAAGCAATTCTCCTTCCAACTCTTTTCTCCCCTACGTGTGTCCAAGCCTAAGCCATGTGCTTAGTAGTATGGGTGTGAGCACGTGTGACAGTGGTAGATATGCATGCCATCCTGTCCTGCCCCATATTGTCTTTTACCCTACAAAGTCTTCTGGATCTACTTTCTATTCCAGAAACTTCAGAATTTCCTAAAAGAAGAGACTGTTATGGATTTGCAAGCAAAGCATGTGAGAACAGCCTGATAATTAGAGGAGAGTGGGTCAAAAAGAGAGCACTGTACACTGTAGGCAGAACTGATTTAAATTAGGTAGGAGGTATAACTTACCCCAGCATTTACTCTAGATGAGCATATGACTGAAGTTAAGAAGCTGGCGATAACTAAGCCATGTATTTCTTCTTTTACTCCCCCATTTTCTGCCTGTTTATTGTGATTATTCTAAATACATCTTTTTGCACACCTTCCTTTCTCTCTCATTCCAGTCTACTACCTTCCATGCCACACAGGCAATGATCCTCCTGACCTGCACATAACTCTGCCAATTCTCTTTCATTACACACCCCTAAATTCTTCTTCCCTTAAAAACTCCAGGGAAATAGCAGTCCAAAAAAAGTTGTAATTTTTCTCTCTCCCACAGTCAGAGGACAAACATATTGATTTCTCCTTCCTGAGGACTGGGATCTAATTCCAACATGTAAATACATTAACACCCCCACTTTACATTGGAATCTGCCCGTCTTCTTTATCCTTCTCGTCTTTTCCTCTTTCTTCGTTCCCCTCCTGTATGTAGGAATGTTTATAGTAATATAGTTCAGTTCTCCAATTTTTAGATAAAACCTTAACCTAGAATGTTCCTCTAAGTCATCTCACTGACCAAAGCCCAACTCCTTCATCAGACTAACGGTGTTTATGGAAAAAGTCTGCTGTGCCACCAGGAAGAAACTGCTTTAGTAGGACAGCATAAGACTTGCACAGGACAAAATCTGTTTGGGACCTTTCTAAGAACTGTACTGACTTAAAAGGAGGTGGGATAGAAGGGAAGCATTTATAGAAAATCTGCCCTGTGGCCATTTAGTTCTCCTTCCCCACATGCCTAAAAGCATTTCTCTGGAAGCAAAGATAATCCTATCACAGAAAGCCAGGAAAACGCGTTTGTGAGGGACTAATTTCCTTTGCTTGTGAATACGGTGCAAGATCTGTACAGGAATGAGACACAGAAGGGGAGGGTAAATCCACAGAATTTCTGCCATCCTCAAACTTGCCTAAGATTATTACAAAAGACAACACAAATAGATTATTCTCCGTGTTCATCGATATCAAGTGTTGCCTTAATACACAGCAAGGGATACTGACTTAAATAAGAATGCAATAAGCTTTCTCACTTGGAGGCTAGCTAGAAAATGAAGAGGCTATCACAGTCGCCTACAAGACGGGCATCAGTGAAGCTCACTAAAAACAACGTAAATAAACAGCCATGGAAATGGCCATTTCTGGTCTATTCAGTTCTGTCTCAGGGTCTGAGTGGACTAGAAGTTTTCTTGATGTCCTCCCTTGCCCTACGCATATGAGTATATCARCTGGTTTCACTGAAAAGAACAAAAGAATTGGTCTCAGAGTTTTGTCCAGAACTTGCAGTTTCTTTGCAACAAAGAAAACAAGTCCTTCCTTTCTTCTCCTGCTTCTCAACCTTTACACATCACAGCTGAACAGTTTCCAGCCCTCAGAGTTAGCCCTTTTAACAGTGATGTCATGGGAAATGCAATAGTCATACAACACTTCACAGGCAGCAGCTGGAGTGAGGACTGTCGGCACAGGACAGCCTTACGGGGGCAGTACAAATATTGCACTGCTCCCTGAATGCCCACAGGAGTGCAACCCAAACCATGGGCAAGGTGTGACAAGGTGTACAATACGTGCTCCAGACATGCCTCCCTCATCCAATGAAAGGGTTAAAATGAACAGTCATTTCTTTCCTTCCCAGTCACTCTGCAGAAGATCCACAACTCTGGCTTGTCTAGCAGCCTCCAGTATTGGCTACCAAATTCCTGCTGTGGCAAGAGAAAACTAAAAAAAGATGGAGTCTCCTCCTCCCGCAGCACAGAATCTCTTGTTGGCCTATCAGTTTGCCCTTTCACACCATTTCTTTTTACCCTCCCTCCCCTCAATTTAAAAATAATGATTATAATTAATGCATGAAGGTGACGGCATTGTGCATGTGATTCACTTCCAGTTCTCATCCTCTCTTCTCAAACATTCTCCTTCCGCTGCTCCAACATAAAACCATCCCCCCAAATTAGTTCCATCTGTCCATCTCGCCTGCATGATTGGTGGCTGGTGTTCACTTGCCATAGACGCTTTCATCACTGTAGGCCACATAGAGAAAATAGTCTTCCTCATGGTTATCCTGGGAGGAGAGAGAGGGGAAAAGTAACAAACCAAAGCCCTGCGACTAATCATATGTGAAAATGTCCAACCGAGAGCACTGTAACAGCAAGAGAGCCTAGAATCTCTTTCACTGCTTCCTTCTGTGGAAGGCTTAACTTTGCTAGTTGGCTGAGCCTACAACAACTCTCTTTCTGGCCACCACTCTACAACTAAATTAAAGAACATCACATCTGGGGGCACAGTGAATTTACTAGTGCAGCCAGAACATGCTAGAAACATGCAAGCACCGTGGAACAGAGATAGCTCTATGTGCTACAGGCTGTGCAGCAGAATCTCAGCATTTGCACTTAAGATTGCAAGGAAAGACTTTAACAAATCATCATCACTCTTCAGATRCCCCCATACTTGACAAATTTTTCTAACTGCTCTAGAAGACCCAAGAACACCTTCGCAGATGGTTGCAATGCTACCTCTGTTGTACAAATTGCTTACAAAGCTGAGATGTTAAGTGATTATATAGACACAAAAAAGTCTTCAGAAAGCTTGAACAGAGCCCCAGAAAGTTAGATCTAGACAGTTAGATCTACCTTCCTCTGATGCGTTCAGATTTGCAAGAGTTCTTGCGTATGTCCATTTCATATTGCCTTTATTAGCCTGTACTGTACTGTGCAGTTACTGTCAAAAGAAATGATGGGCCAAATGGGGCTCACAGCACCATGCCAAAGTCTCTTATTAAAAGACATCAACATGGCACGAGGGAGGTTTATGGCTGAAATCAATCGAGGCTGTAAACTGGTCTTGATATAATGCCAATATAATTAAKGAATGTTCCTTTGATGGCCAAAGAATATGCCTTCAAAATGGATCAAATAGTACTTCTCAGTAGAAATTGTGGAAAACAATGTTTACAGTGTCCTTGCACACACAATACAAGTTCCAAAAAAGAAAAATCCAAACCAAAGAATAAGATTTCCCTGAAACGCACTTGTAGGCAGTTTGTTGTCCTGTGATGTTATGCTCTTATCTTGGCTAAAAGGAAACCTTTTTATATACCTTTGTATATAAAGGAAACCTTTGTATATAAAGGAAACCTTTTATATACCTTTGTATAAACAGGTAAGCTGATACATAAGTTTCTTCATCATTTTTCCCCTGTCACACTCTCTCCTCCTCGATATAGACAGGTGTTTTAGAGCAATGCTTTGTTTATGTAATAGGACCAACATGTCACTCCTGAGGCAATTATTCACTACCTAATACAACAACTCTTTACCTAGCAAACAATTAAAATAATTACACTCTCCAGACTTCTCTTTATAACCACAAAATCGAACTTTCCCCACAGACAATGGAATATTGCTAAGGGTAAGGGGCCCAGTTTTAGGGGCTTGTTGCCAAGCTTTACCCGCTGGCACTTCAGCAGGGCTCAGTGATACTTTAGTGAGGACATATATTCCTATGGACACTGCACTAAAAGGAGAAAGAAGTGGGCCAGGCTTACCTCATACAGCTGTCCCATGGTAGCACTGGTAGGAGGGATGGTATTATTGACGAAGAAGAACAGGGCATCCTCTGGCCTCAGGTGGATTCTCTTTCGAATTAAGAAGTAGAACTGGCCAACTGAGGAAGAAGAAGAGGGTAGAATGCTTTAAATGCATAAAAGGTGTTGATTTTGTTCAGCAGCTTTGCATGATTGCTTCCCTTTGGAAAAGAAGAAAGGGAAACTGCATGCTGTAGGTAAAAAGTAGGGGGTGRGGGGAAGGAAAAATGCAAGAACAAAAGAACTTCATGATGGTCACTACATTATCAGCTGATCCACACTGAGCTGGTAGGTGTTGGCTCAGAGCAGCTTTTCCAGTTTACCCACCCTGACTMTGACCACTGTACCCTCTAAATCCACCCTCCCATCTATTACAATATTAAATGCTCTATAGCGGGGACTGGTGGAAAAATCTTTAATCTGTTTCATCTCTAAATCCTATATGGCAAAGGTACCATATAGATTTTTGCCTTAGGTTAAACAGTCATTCCTGAAAATAAATTTAATCCTGTCTATCTGCTTGAGCTTTGTTGCACAGGGCATTCCACGACCAACTACATATCCCAAGACCAAAAAGATTCTGTTCCTTTAACTGATTCATATTCCCAAATGAAAATAAACATAATCACACACAAACTGGCCATGACTATTTTGAAAAGGAACTTTGTTGTGGTCATGACTCCAACGCTGGCAGTGGAAAACAGGAGGACTATTTTAAGACCTTGCCTCTTTCTGCAACAAGGATACAGCTCTGTCAACTTGAGCTGCAGCTAAGTCATCACTGACAGATAATTGTGTTGCTATGATACACAATTCAGTCATTTTCATCACAGAGGTAAGCAGTGACACATACAAATTAGTTGAGTCACTGGGATTCTTCAAAAGACCTCAGAGAATTCTGCAAGTCATAATCCAGACTGTAAGCCATATATACATATATATACACACACACATATAAGTACAGCTAAGTAAACGCGAACAATGAAAAGATTCATCAGATACTCAGATGGATATTTTCTTGATGCTGATCCTAAGAGTAAAAATAACTTCAGAGACCTTCTCACTGAAAATCAGGGCAAAACTGAATAAATTTTCTTACCTGTGAGGTCAGAAGGCACAAGATACTTCCTTTTGTCTAGGTCAGGTACTCTGGCTTTTGGTGCTTTTTCCACGATTACCTAGACAGAGAGTGTGAAAGTGAGACGGAGAGAAAGGAGAGAGAAAAGCAAGAAACTAACCATGGTAACTGTAAGGGGGAGTGGACCAAGAAGCCCCAGTGGAAAAGGATATTATCCTTTAAGAAATGGATATGTGGGAAAAAGACTAAAAATCACTGGCAACAGCTACGTTGGGAGCCCTGGACAGATGCAGTATGCACAGTGAGTAAAAAATGGAGACTGAAACAGATACAAAAATAAACTATAATGGCTGAAAAAAAAATCAGGTCACCTTGATGGTCCCAGTGCACATTATTTCTGTATGAAGAAGCTGCCTGGAGACTAACACACAGATATAAAGAGATATTGCAGATAACTTGAATATCTTCCAGGCTCCAAACTTCCTGGCATAAAATCAGCCCTAGTCCCAGTAGTCCCATATCCTGATTTCTACAGTCACCAACATCAAATCCTAAATGTATTAATGTCTAGGCCTCTGGAATTAGGAAACTCTGTATAAAATACTAACCCTTATTACATGCCACGCAGATGACATTCACTAGCTTTGAGGTCAAACAGGCTAAGAGATCTTCAGCTACAGCAAAGGAGTTGTCATCAAATCAAATGCTTATCTCAAAAGTAACAAGTATTCCAAAACAACCAGAGCTTCTTCCAGGAAAATCCTAGGAAACCTTCCCAAAGGTGGAGGTATGTTTCATCTATGTGGCTTGTTATCTGCAGAAGCCATTTTGGCCATCTAAATGAGAAGTTTGATTTTTCATATTTCTCATCTTTTCCTTTGCCTGGATCCTGCCCTCGACTCAATTCGGGACACCGTAGTATTGATTTCCAAGGGTTCCATATTCCCAGAGCTCTTTGCCAATCAAAATCAGCAACTGTCTCTGTTGTATGGGGTGAAACAATGTGGATCAACCTCTCTCTGGAACCAAAATGAGGTTGTCACATCAGAGAGGTATTATACCCAAGAAAATACATTATCATAGAAGAGTTGAGGTTGTAGGAGTCATCTGGAAATCACCTGGTGCAATCCTTCTGCTCCAGAAAGTGTCACACAGAGCAGGTTGTCCAGACTGTATCCACTCAGGTTCTGAATGTCTCCAAGAATGGGGACTCCACAACCTCTCTGGGCAACTCACTTCAGTATTCAGACACTCTCACAGCGAAGAAGTGTTTTCTCATGTTCTGATGGCCTTTCCTGTATTACGAAGGCCTATATTAGCCTGGGCAAACTGCCATATTAATCCAGGCCTATTCTTTCAAGAACCAAGTGAGTATCTGCAAAGGATGGCTGTCCATAGAGATATTAGTTGGATATTTCTCCAATCGGCTTCATTTCGATGCTTTGACATGGTTAAAATCCCTGAAAAGTGTAAGTTTCTTTTCAAAATAGAAATATGGCCACTTCTGCCTTTTCAATGACTTGCATTTTCAAGTACCTTAGTCAGTACAAGCCTTTCAAGCTCTCTAAAGATTGAATGTTGTGGTAGGATATGCATTTCTATGAAGATGCAACTGACTTAGGACAAATGCTGTGGAAAAAAAATAAAGATTCCAAATTCTCCCTGAATATGTTTTGGCCAAACAGCAACAGCACTTTTACCAGACATACTGCAAGACATCTAACACAATAGGTTGCAATAAATACTAACCTTTCTTGTCCAAAATTACCAAAACTACAGACAAGGAGGAGGGGGTTAGCCAGCAGCAGTGATATGACCCTCCTGACCCTGAAGGCAACTTGCTCATCCTGATCACAAATTTGTCATTAGAACAATAAAGAAAAGGAAGATGGTGGGGAAATCTAAAGGCAGTGAGGAAGAAGGGAGAATGTTGGGGATTCTGAATCTGTAGGAAGCGTTCAAATTAGATAATCACTGAGCTTAACAGATCTTCCTCTTGCAAGCAGGCAGAGCAGGAATAGCAGTGCTTTGCCAGACTGATTAGCAGCAGCACTTAGCTTGCCTAGTAACACCGATATCCTTTTCCTCAAATACCAAAACCTCCACAGATCCGTGCATGTGCATTCYTCCCCACCCGCAAGGAAAATCCAAAGGGCAGCAACCAATTATCTGCAGATGTTGTTGCTGGGTGGCATCAGCAGCCGCATGAGACTGTGCCACACTGCATTGTAAACTTGGCAAAACGCTGAGTTGTATCAGGAYACTGCAGTGTAGGCAACCAAAGCGATGCCATCTTCAAGGATMCAGCCGTCAGCAAGAGCATGGATTTATGCGATGGAAAGATTCCCCCTGGCTGCATTCACATGTCCTACATGCAGCTCTCTCAACARGCTTCCCCACTGGATAATCCACATCCCGGCCTCCCCATGCAGCTTTCCTCATTTATCCTKAACTGCGGCACACGCTGCTATTTTGGTCCTGCCTTCCTCCCTGCAGCTCTGCTGATGCCCCCCTCTGTCTTCATTTCATTAATTTCTTGCCAAACCTGAGCTCTGGTGCTTGGCTCCCCGCACGGCTCTTGCGGATACATCTGTCACGACCTGCTGCCCRCACTGCCATGCTAATGCTCCTCGCTCATAACTGACAGCATCCTCTCCGTGATCCTCATCCTCCGTGGCCCCCAACAGCATCCACGTCTTCATTGCCCAGCTGCATTCTCAACCTTCATTGCCCACCTGCATTCTCAATACTAGGCCAAAAAGCCCCAAATTCGCAGCTTGGCCAAATGCACCCAAATTCTGACTTCCCAACATTTTTACCTAGTAGAGTGGTAGCCCAATCCTAAAAWAGAAATGGTATCATCTTCTCAGGAAAACATGTAGGATTATCTGTTTACCCTTGGCCTCAGATTCACGTTTCCAGGTATTTTGAACGCACTATCCCTAGCCAGTAAATCTGGGACAGATCTCTCAGGTGGGGATGGAAAGAAAGAACAATCGCAAAACATTTAATAGAACACAAAGAAAAAAAAAACTCAATTAACTTGGTTTGTCATTTCTTTTTTCCAATTATACCAGTAATTATAAAGCTAGAAGTCTTCCATGGGCATTCCGCAGGGACCGAAGCATGAGGAAGCAAAGCAAGGAGATGAAAACCTTGTCTCCAAAGAGATGCGCTTTTTTTCTCTCTCTCTTTTCTGTAAGAAGGTTAAACAGGAGGGTAGAGACGCTGGGAACCTAAGTGTCATTTTTATCTCCATAAAGCACGAGAACAGAGTAGGGCTGTACCAAAAAAGACAGGCCAACAGGCAGAAAGGTAAAAATAAAGGGATATCTGATGGCACGGATACAGCTCTAGTTCTCTASGGGCAGAGCTCACAGAGATCGCCCTTGGCGGCGCCACAGTTCTCCGTTTCCACGGGGAAAACGGCGAGCTCCTCCCGGCTCCCGCCACCCCACGCACCGCGGCTGCCACACCGCGATTCCCAGCGCCAGGCGGGTGCGGGTCCCCGGAGGAGGGCGGGCGGGCGCGTTACCCGCCCCCACCCGCACCTACGCGGACCGACATGACAACAACCGCCGGCGCTAAAGGCAGCCCGGACTGCGGGCACCAAGCAGCACGAGCGTCTCGCTAAGCCCACGCACAAATCCCGACACAGCGCAGGGAGCCGCGGGAGCGAGGGCGGGCGGGCGGGCAGCCGCGGTACGGCACGGCAGGCGCCGCGGGCAGCCGTCGCCCACGGACGGGCGCGCGCGCCGCACTCACGGGCACTCTGTCCGGGTACTTCTTCCTGATCTTCTCCCCTTCCTTTTTTCTGTACTCGAAAGGATGGTCCTCCTTGTACTGGAACTTCATGCTGCGCCGGGCGCCGGGCGGCAGCTCCCCCTCCGCTGGCCGCTGCCGCTCCCCGCGATACGGATGGCCGCTCGGCGGGCGCTGCGACACCCGCGGCAGCGCAGCGGGGCGGGGCGGAGCGGGGCGGAGCGCGGCCGGCGGCTCCCCCGCACCGCGCTGCAGCAGGACGCGCCCGCCCACGCGCACGCACGACCGCGGCGGGGCGAGGCGAGGCGGGTCGGGCGCCGTGACGTCACGGGCAGGCAGCGCGCCGCCATTCCAGACGCTTCCAGGGGCCGCGCGTCCCGCGTGGCGGCGGCGGCCGCGGGGGCGCCCCGAGCGCGGCTTGTGCCTCGCGGGCGGCACCGAGGGCCGGCCTGGGCCCCGTGGGGGTGCGGGGATGCCCCCCCATCCGCGCGTGTGCCGGCGCGGGGGAGGAGGGGAGCACACAGCGTTATTTCACATTTATTCTTATACGTGTTGTTGTGCAGAGCCCGGTTGTCGCCCCAGCACCCCCTCTCCGGGGGAAAAAATAAAGGGGCCAAATGAACCTGCAGTTGAGTGCTGTCGCAGTCCCCAGCATGACTCAGGGGATTATGAATAAGCCGCACRAGCAGAAACATCTCTGGGGGTTGCAGCCGGCCGCGCTGCCCTCGCTCGCTCCTGCCTCCTCACGTGGACAGTGCCTGTGTAATGCACCATGGTGGAAAAGCTCCTGGAGGGACAGCAGCTTGGGCAGGCACATTGCCCAAACAGAGCTGCCTGTCAAGGCAGCAGCTTACGAGTCTCTAATTGACACTTGGATACCCCTGGCACTTGGATAACCCGCTTTCTTAAGACCTGGAGACTCCCTGGAGAGTTTCCCCTTGGTGAAGGCGGTTGGCGCAGGGTTTAGGCCTGGGTCAGCCACAATGTGTCCCCAGACCTCAGTTTCCCCATGAAATACTTGAATGCCACTTCTTTGAAACAGGGGATGAGACTGAAGTATTTAAGTAGATGTGATATCAAAGAGGAAAAAAAATGTTTATACTGTTTCAGTTAAATAACAAGGGGCAGAAAGTSTGATTTGTGATGTGCCAGTGCATATTACAAACAGCAGATGGTCCAAGCAAACTGTTTGTAAACAAACCAAAGCAGTGGTGCAATTTTAGCCTAGTTACTCAGCAGGTAAGTACTTGGAATACTCTGTTTTTATTAGGTCCAGTTAAGCACACAGTATTTACTGACTAGAAGAAAGGAAGGTACTAGTAAATGGATCAGTGTGCTTAAATCTGCAAAAAAATTAATTGCTGCTGTCCTGGGGAGAATGAACAACTGAAGTGTATCAAAACTCTCAGCGTATCAAAATCTGATTATTTCAATACAGGCCTCATAGAGAGAAGCAAAAGTTTTTCAAGGATGATCTTTTATTTAAGTGAAAAAAAAAAAAAAAAGATGAAAGAAAAAACCAAAAATGAAGAGTAAGCAATAGCTGAATCAAAGGTTCACCTTAATGATAAAAACAGGATCGGGGGCATAAAGCTCTGGTATTGTTCTAGAGATACTCACGTAAACCCTTTAACCTGCTCCCAAGTAACTCATAGCTGAGACATTACTGGAGGTTATATCACTGTGTCACTAATAGGCATACCTGAGTTGTCTGAGATGTTGACACTAGGCATAGGAAAGAGCCTGTTACAAATTTCCACAATAGATTGTAGGATATAGTACTGCTTGCTTAGCACTAGTAGCTAAATTTACTGAAGGTTAACACTGCACCTTCCTCAAGTTTTCCCTAAATTGTCTGAGGCAGTTTGAACAAGGAGAAACAAGGAACRAAGTTCAAACATCATCAGTGAGTACCTTAACTACACCTGCACACAATGGGGAAGCCAATGAAGAGTGAAGAAGCTGCTTTTTGTCAAGTAATCCTTGGTGCAACCACAGAGAATCACAGAATCACAGAATGTTCAAGGTTGGAAGGGACCTCTAGAGATCATCTAGTCCAACCCCCCTGCTCCAGCAGGGACACCCAGAGCGTGGGGCACAGGGCRGCATCCAGGCGGATTTGGAGACCTCCAGAGAAAGAGACTCCACAGCCTCCCTGGGCAGCCTGTGCCAGGGCTCTGTCACCCTCACAGGAAAGAAGTTCCTCCTCACATGGAGATGGAACTGCCTGTGTTTCAACTTGTACCCATTACCCCTTGTCCTGTCACTGGCCACCAATGAGAAGAGCTTGGCCCCTTCTTCCCTACATTCTCCCTTCATGTACTTATACATGTTGATCAGATCCTCTCTCAGCCTTCTCTTCTCCAAGCTGAACAGGCCCAACTCATTCAGTCTCTCCTCATAGGAGAGATGTTCTAGTCCCTTAATTATCTTTGTAAGAGCTTTGCTTGTAGATATATAAATACCCACGTAATTTTCTGTTCAAAGTTCCTCTGAGGAGCCACCCAGCTCTAGCTGGAATCCTAATAAAATCATTTTATATAATTTTTTTTGTGTGTGTGTGTTTTGGATAAAGTAGAAACCTGGAGTTTAACCCTGTTAAGGACGATGGATTGAACAGTTTCTCTAACAAAGATCCAGGATGTTAGTGTGTCTTCTGTGTCTTACAGAGCTTTTGATGTGCTACCCACCTTTGCTTTCAAAAGCAGACAGCTGTGAACTCTTTTGGCTTTTGGTAGTACTCCAAGCCGTGGTATACTCTGATCTCCTTGATTTTGCATGTGGGTGAGATAGATCTAAGAAATCAATTTACTTTGATGCAACTGTTTGCACAAAAGGTAGTAGTTTCCAGATACCCTTGTCTGGCTTGGGAATGTGGTCCAGAATCTCACCTACACTTGTGTCTGACTTCTTAAATTGTCCCTACATTCTGTGAAGATAAATAGGCATGGCTGTGATTCTTCTCACCTGAGTATAGACATCTASTTTTGGGTGCGTATTGAAGATGTCAAGTGCTATAGATGCCTGTTTCTGAAGGACACAATAGAAAGGGTTTTTTCCAGCCCATTTCGCAGACTTCCAAACTGTTCTGGCCGTTTTAACAAACCACTCCTCCTGTTGTCCTGCTATAAGTGCTGTGTTCCACTACAGCACTATACAGAGGGCAATCGGACTAGGCTCTTGTTTGAAATTTTGTTAGAAACCAGGGAGGAGCTTTGGGTGTTCTTCCCTGGTCTGATGGGGCCAGTGAGAACACTGCCAGGTGGCTCCTCCTCCATGGCAAATCTGGTGTGGGAATCACAAACCTGACCCTGCCGTGTAAAGATGCAGCCCTGGATGTGCAGGCACAAGTCTCACTCCTCCCACTTCCTGCTTCCTCCCCATCACGCTCTGAGCTCCTGGCTGTCTCCACCAGCTCAATAATAACAGCAACGTCACTGGCAGAACAGCAGGCAGGAAGATGATGCATGCAGAAAATGTGACAAACAGGTAATCATATGACTTTGAGTTCCTATTAAAATGCCAAGTCATGGGCATGTGACAAACCCCACATTCTGGGTTTGTATGCTAGCAGGAATTGGACWTGAAGTTGCCTGTTTTTTCCACCCTGGATGCCCAGCACAAACCAGTTCCACAAAGTTCCCAAACAATGTGCTTTTAATCTGGAGTGTTCAAGCGCTCCAGAGCTCAGCCTTTGAGCCTGTAGTGCATTGCTGTGTGTGCAGATCATGTGGGCAGTTTCACCTTGAAAGAGGCTGCATTTCCAGTGCTGTAGCCAGAGAAACAGCAGATAAGAATATTACATGCAGGTTGCCAGAAGGGTTTTGTAACCTGCCCCAGTACAGCACAGCAACCCAGGGGCACTCCTGGGAGATTTGCAGTGCATTACTGGGCAGTGAARCTGCTGTGTATATTTGTACAAATGGCCAAAATTCAGTGATTTCACAATAGATTTGTCTCTTATTTGCTGTGTCTTACAGGTGCTGTCCAGCTGAATGACATTCAGCTTGACCCTACTGGAGCTGCTATTTATTTTTGCAAACAGTTTGAAACCTTGAATATCCTTGAATGTTTATTCCATTAGTCCCTCCCCTGGCTATTTTTTTTTTCTTTTGAACCTCCTTAGACTGACTGACTTTGTTGTTGTTGTTAATCTTTAGTGTGGTTTCAGGCATATCAATATCTCTCTTGTCAGAAAACTTGAAACATGTATGTTTTATTCTTATTAAAACAGAGACTATATCAGAAGTCACTTGTAATTCTGTTCTGTTTGCTGTCCACCCAAGACACATGGATCCTTGGCACCTCCTCTGCACTCCTTGTGACTGGTCACCAGTTTCACTTGGCACTGATTCTGTCACAGTCAGTGTGGGGACATTGGCCCTGGGTGAGGGTTCAGGGCTGGTCACTCCCAGCAAACAATGGCTAATTGTGTAGATGTTTTCCTTTCCTTTAGGAAAGGGCTCTGTATTGTTTATGCTGAACTATCATTCCACTTATTTATTYTCTACAACTTCGTATTTTTGGAAAAGATCTGGTCATTGCTCCCAAACTGATTGAATAGTCCTACCTTTGCTCAAGTTGCTGAAGTTGAAATGCATACCATTGAGGCATGCCATGAGGCATTTAAAGAAAATACCCCTTTGCATGGTGAAAAGCACAAAAGTCAAGATCAGAATAACCCACATTTGGTATTTAAGGATCCCTTTGTTCCATCTAGTGATTTACAATGCCATGTTGGGGAAGGGAACCATTGTTACTTAATGGCCCTGTGAAAACAAAAGAGCAACMCAGTAGCTGGACCACTGGGATGTTTCTGAGTTCTAGTCTTCCTCAAGTTCCACACTTTTTAAGGAACCTAAGGGAGTAGACCTCTGCTTTTTAGCACCTTATGTAGGTATACTCTTGTTGTCTTCATGTGGTTGTAGCCCAAATTGTTCCATGTACAGGCTAAAGATAGCAAGCAGAGACTGTCAGACATATCTCTTTCTCCTCTGTGATCACTTAATCTATATTTGCTCAATTCCCACCCCTGGCCCAGTGTTTGGTCAAGAGCAGGGTAAATGAGTGACCCAAAGCTGAACCAAAGGTCAACAACTTGATACTGTCATCGAAAACCAGGAATAAACCTCTTAACACCCATGTGTTATTAAGAAGCAGGCGTTCACTTTATTGCAGTGCTGGATGCACAGGGGATAGCTCCATCTATCGTGCATGCCCTTGGGGGTGTTTGCTAAGACTTTTATTTGTATTAATTATCTACATATGGATTAAATTCTAGGAATGATCATACATATTCATTCTATTTCCTGGAACTAATTACAATATAACCCACCCTTGTGCGCGTACACCCTCTGTCTCTTTGGTGGTCTCTGGTCTTTTGAGACCCCTGGWGGTTGTCTCCCTGTGCCCATTCAATGACCTCTAATAACCCACTTCCATATATGGCCTCATTTTGGCTCAGAAGGCCCTGTTTTGGTTCTACTGCCCCGTTTCAGCCAGTTCCTCCAAGATACTGTCTTCAGCCTGTGCTCGCTGTTTTGTCCCTATTCTCTAATGATGTCCCAGTAAAACCTGCTATTTTGTCCATATTGTCTTGTAATATACCAGCAACATCAGTGAAAATGTATCTTTGGGTGCGTTCTCTTATGGAGGTTCTCTTAACAATACAGTTGCTTTAAGGACTTTGTACATAAATTTCTCCTTCCCTTATATTTTTCTATAAATGAAATACTACTGCTTATCTGACTCATAAGGAAGATGATTAAAATTTATATGTGCATGGAGATCTGTGGATACAGATACCTCATTATTTATTCATCGCTTTTTAAAAAGTTGTTTTTGCTGACATATTTCTTGTTTTGTGTGATATTGGAGTAGTCTGCAGAATATGGGTGCTCCAGTACAGCCACCTTGATGGCAGTGGCACTACCCAGCAACTGAATAAACTCTAGAATTATTTAATCTAAGATTAAATTAGTTAAGAGAATCTTTTTCTGTATTTTCCAGGATATGTTACTGCATATTTGTGAACAGTTCATGACCTTTTGCACTTAAACATGTGATAAGAACAATTCCTACTATATTTATTTGTGTTGCATGAAAATTTTTCTTAYGTTTAATAATATTTAATATTAATACTTCACTTTCAATCTCAAAGTATAAAAGATCTCAAAGAGCTTATTAGAAATTATAAAATGACAAAATACATCCAGGGTCCAAACTCGACAGTGAGGTGTGACCATCTCTAATGGATAAGAAAAACAGATGAATAATAGAGTAGTACCAAGTAAGAGTTCAGCTCTGTAAATTAATAAACTTTATGGAGTGTGGTACTACTTTTTTATAAATTGTAGGTGATCTTTATTGAATCTATCCTCTTTTTATTTTACTGTTTGTGGAAGACAGAACAAGTTAGAGTCAAAGGTTATAAATATTTTCTCTGAAATTGTTCATTTCAAGTCAGTGCAGCAGGACACAGTAAGTGAGCAAGTGAAGTTATATCTATCATTGCTTGTTACTCCTGAAGTATTTGGAATTCCTGCTAGAAAAGAAAAAAATGGTGAGGCAAAGGTATCTGACCAAAAACCTAACAACAAGCAAAAGAAAAATGTGGTCAGATGGGACAATAGTTAGACTGTGCTGTCTTTAATCAAATTCCAGCTCCTGTCATGCTTCTTGCAAGCTTTACTGCTATGAATGTTTTAGAAAAGGACAAAGAAGTACCATCATGGATATTTAAAAAACAGCACAAAGTTGCATTATTTGAAAATCAAATGATATATAAAGAAGTGTGATATCATTGTGTAAATTAGGTGAGCAATAACTAGTGAGAAAGAATGCAAATTTACTAATGGAGTAGGTCAAGAATCACTTGGTATTGCAGAGAACAAAGCCTAAGAGAAAGCACAGAAACACTCTCAAACCTGAAGTTAATATCCAGTTCCGAATGCAAGTGACCTATATTTTTTTCCTTTTCAGATTGAGAAAGGAGCTAGCAGTAGTGATTCACACAGGAAATACAAACAGGAAAAATTCAGAATTTTATTTTATCATTTTACTTTTTATTGAATTCTTAATCAAATATTACAGCAGCATTTTATCAAAAATTGCACCTTTGTTTTGTACAAGAAATAAGTAGTATTCTGTTGGAAGGATTCCTGTCTGGTGAAACTAGACTGCCATCTCGTGTTAAATTCATGTAATTCTCAAGACTTACATGTGTTGYTCATAGGCAGGAAAAAGGGGTGGGGGAAGTGGAGGAATGGTATGTTCCCAGTGTAAAAGATTTCAAGGGTTCTTGGAAGGTTGTTTGCTTTATAGTGTTTGACGTATGTTCAGCATGTCCAAATATCTCCGCTTGTTCCAGGACTGTGCTGTGAAGTAAACAATCCTCTAGGAAATGTTCTACAGCTTGATGAACACATCAAACGTGAACTGGACTTTAGAAACCCTCTGCTGAAGTAGGTCACTTCAGTAGATGTTCCATAAATAGTTATTATTTCAGGCCTGCTGTATGTAGAAGAGATATGACCTTAGATGTCACTTATTTGTGTTATTCCAGCTTATACCACATTAGTGATATAATTAGGTAATGACTATGCTATTCAGGTAAAAGTGTGTGGTCTAGGAAATTTTTTAATTTCATTAAATTTCCTTTGTGGATACTAAACTCCTRTGTCTCCCTGGACAAGGTCTGGAACATCATCAAGTATGTTTTGTGTGTTCAATTCTGTTTAATGCTATCCATGAAGCTATCCTACCAATTTCCTCGAGATTCCACCCTAAGAACCTTGTGGCTGTTATCTCAACTGCAGTTAGATTCCTAAAAATATTTGAGAACCTGGTCCTTGTTCTCTTTATCTTTCTTTATCTGGAAAATGACCAGGTTTTTCTGTACTTCACAGGAATGCTATGAGGATCAGCATATTAGAGGCAGTGAGGAGTTGGGTACTCTAGTAGGAAGGACCATACATATTTTTCAGAATGATAACATTAACATTAACATCAACATTTAAGTGCAACTAATTAATGACTGCCTATCATTTGATATTTGATCTCCTGCTCTAATGTTTTCAGTCATTGAACCCAGTGTATGGACAATGCCATGTAATTCAACAGTCATTTGGCTGTAATGAGTACCTAGCCCAAGAAAACATTTTACAGATGGTGCATAACTATGTTCATCCAAACAGTTTCATGAACATTTCTGAGTGATTCAGCATATTTGTATGGTTCAGGAAAGTCGCACAGATCATTTCTATCTGAGGAATATTTTAAATATTTCAAGTGGTATTAATTAGCTTGATCTGATTTGACAGCAACAGCTGTCAAGCTGTCAAGCAGCAGTAAAAATAATTATTAATAATACAAAAAAACACAACTTAAATATGATTGAACTTTATTTCAGGAGTGCTTTTGGTCCTCATCTGATCTACTACCACTCACCTTTTATTTTTTAATTCAAATATAAGAGCTTGTGATTGCTTTTTCAGAATTAATGTATAGCCTGTTCATAGTCAAACTGTATTCTTTTTATATATCTTAGACAGTATTTAGATGCATTACTGCACATACTGTATGAACTGTATGCTGTTTCTTCTTTAAATGCAGGTGGTGTTCCTACACAATTTCAAAGTTTATATTTGCTACAAAGGGTTGACATTTTCTAGGAGTCTGGTGTTATYACTGGCTTTTAAGACCTTCCTATGTCTCTGTTCTTGTTCCTACCAAGTGAAAACCCTTTTGCCCTCTGCATGAAAATTAGGCCAGAGATTCTAAGTCTTGCAAGCAGAATGACTCTACATCTGCAGTCTCCCTGCATGTCTCCAACACGAGGCTGCAAAGTGGGACAGCACCTTGATCTTACTGCCTGATTGTATCTGCAAATTGTGGTACAAGAGATACATGTAATAAATAGACATGGGAACTGACAATGGTAGATATCTAAAGGGGGTGTCATGAGGAGCCATCAAAATATGTTTGATCTGGAACTATTTGGACTTTTAGTCCTTTTTTTCCTTTCTTATTAGACTAAATAGGTTAATCTGATATTCCTAGACCAGCCTGCGAGAATTCTCTAAACATAACTATTCTGCATTATTTGCTTTTCTGTAAAAGCAAGCACTAGCGTGCTGGGAGGGCCTGTTGGGATTCATTGCTCTCAGTGGATGTCTGCAGTTTTTCTTCTGGCACTGAGTCAAGGTCTGGCACTTTCTGCCCGGTCTTGGCCACCGTGAATCTGCTCATGTGCAGAGCTTCTTCATAGACTGGAGGAGTGTCTGATCCAGAGAGCGGTGGTGTTCCCTGCACAGCGTTGTGGGAGTGTGCCACTGCTAATATCCTCCTGGCCGCAGGCCCAAACATGGAATGGAGAGCTGAAAGGGAGGAGACAAAAGCGATTTGCCTCATCCTGAAAGCTCCAAGCGATTAGAAAGGGAAAAGCATATCTGCTGTGTACAGCCTTTCCTCTCTCCAYGAACTAAATGTTATCTTCTTCCTGCCCCTTTATTCCCTCTTTACTACCACTGCACTCCATCCCCAACCACGCAACCACTACAGCCACTTCCTACAGTTACTCCTTCTTCAAGTGCCCAGCAAGGCTCCTGTAGCTGTCCTTGTTCCACCCAGACGAGTCTCACAGCCATGCATGGATGGCTTACCATCTGTCAGGAATTGCTGTATAGAGTCTTGTGAGCACCTCAATGTGGACTATTTATAGATATTCTTTTCCCAGCTTCCTGCCAGGGAGTTCCAACCCAGTGAGGAGCTTACTATGGGATGTCACAATGAGCTTTTTATAGTGCAGCCTCTCACAGTGGTAATGGTAAACTCACAGGTTATGGTGCTCTGGAGAGTGCTGTCATGGTCGAAAGCAATGACTGTGACCTCATAGGGTGGAGGACTTGATTCTTCCTCTGTTTGACGGAGATGAAAACAACATCTCACACAGGCTGAAACCAGGCCACACAGGAGCAGCAGCCCACCAATCACAACTGCTAGCCTAGAAGGGGAAAGGAAACAGTTAGAATAAAAGATTTTAGTTGGAAGAAACCTGTTGAGTCAGGTCTCTAATCCAGCTCTCCGCTTAAAGCAGGTCTAATTTCAAAGCTAGATGAGGTTATCTACAGCCTCGTTCAGCAGAGTTGTGACGCTCTCCACAGTTCTGCAGATGGCACATCTGGACCTGCTCTAGTGCTTCACCACCCTCCYGAAAAGGCAGTTGCTTCTTCCATCTAAGCAGAATTTAGATTCTGCACAGCTGATGGTGTTCCTGTCAGCTCTGGTGCTTCCGCTGTGCACCTCTCAGAAGACTCTAACTCCATCTTCTCTGTAAGTGTACTTTATGTAGGAGAGATGACTGCATTTAGTTTCCTTCTGTCCCACAACCTACTGCGGGTTGAAAAAAATTCACTTCTTCCGTCTTCTCCTCGCACATATAGTACTGCAGTCCTCTGACCATTTTGTAGTCCATCCACTGGACTTGTTCTACTTTGTCAATATCTGGTTTTTATTGGGGGCCCAAGACAAACTGGACCAGGTATTACAGATATGTTCCAAAGAAYGGTGAATGTAGAGGAAAAATCATATCAATGATGAACGAAAAATCAATCAGGGATTGGACTAGGTAATTGCCAGAGGTGCCTTCCAGCCTCAACTATTCTTTGTTTTTGTGATAGCCCTCAATCTGCTGGCTACAATCTTATTCATGCAGCATAGTTGGTTTCTAATTACTGCTGTCCTTTTTAACATGTGCAGGTTGATGATAACCACTGAGAAATCAAACTGAAATTTCTAAATAAATGGACCTTCAACAAGATGCTTTAATACTGTGCATCCAACAAAATCAATGTATGTAATAAAAATGGGATGTCTGTGAAGGCGAGTTAACCGTTTGTTGAAGGGCATGTAATGACTGAGGTATTGCAGTGCTACTTCAGAGCAATAAAAGGCTCAGAGAGAAAGTGGTGATGTCATTGCACTTTACCTAGCTACAGGATTCCACTCTTTACTACTGAAATTGTCAAATGATACAGATATTTAGAATAAGTGTATGCCATCTTACCAGATATACCATAGATGTTCCCATTCTGTTCTTGAACAGCTGAGAGAAAGATAATATGAGAAAAAGTTAGCTACAGAAAATAATAAAATAAAATAAAATAAAATAAAATAAAATAAAATAAAATAAAATAAAATAAAATAAAATAAAATAAAATAAAATAAAATAGGGAAGATCCCTATTATATCCTTTTCCAGCTTCCTTCACAATTCTCACTTATATTTTAGCTTCTAAATAGCACAAATGAAGAAGAATCCATGGTGCTTGATAGAAGAGACAACTATCCAACCTTATCAATCTTCTCATTAAGGAAGTTTCCTTTCTGTTCAGATTTACTTTTTGTTGTTCCCTTGATATTAATGCCTCCTCAACTCTGCAAACTTTAAGGATTTATACAATGTTATTATTTCTGAACTCTTCTTCTTCATTTATACATTTCTTTATTAGAAAAAGAATTCTCCTAGGCTATTTTTTTCCTTCTTGTTTTGCCTTAATTTCCGTCATTCCTACAAATGACATTATGATGAGCAATATTCACCAAAGCAGCATATTTCAAACCATTTTTTAATGAAATAMCAGTTCTGATTTCATAACATGTCAATCAAAATTAAGACAGAAAGTTGTCAGCCATTACAGTTATCCAAATAGGAATCAGAACCAATGCCATGTAATCATTATGATGAAAAGAGGTGATGAATATGTTTCCCATTCAAAGCAATGGAAATTTTAATTTTCTGGAAATCTTTTGGAAAATGATTGCCACCATCATAACATTGATGTCCATTACTGCCTTTCTTCTTCTTCATCATCTTAAAAGAATGCAAGATCTACAAATACTCACAGTTCAGCATTCACACAATTTTCCTCTCCTCTCACTGGAGGGAACTAGAGAAGAAAAACAAGCAAGAGATGGGCAGAAAAAATGAAGCCTTTATCATATGCAACCTTCTCTCACCCAGACTGATAYCAATCTGAATCTTACAACAAGGACTCGTTGTTAGCCAATTCTCTGCTGTTTCCTTCAGGTATTCTATCATATATTGAAAATTTTTATATCAAATGCAGTGCTTCATATTTTCCCTTTCCTGCTTCCAGCAGAATTATTAAATCCTATTAACATTTGACTTCCCAGTTACAGGCCCARTTTCCCCTCTATTCTTTCACCACAAGCTTTGTCAAACTACAGCTATAAATTCTTCTCTCTGCTAAAATATTAAGAGCAACCAAACATCTGGCTGCTTATTATACCCATGTAGGTTTGAATTCTACCTTTCTTTCTATATAGCAATGTGTTTTGTGACATTCATACTCTTTCCATTCTTCAGTCTTAGATACCCTGATCTATATTAAACCACCCTTGAAACAGCAGCAAATAGTCTTCTGTGTGTATCCTGTTTTGTATCTTTAAATGTCAGCAAATTCTTGGAATTATCAATTGCTAACACCCATTCAGTTTTCTAAGGTAATGCCCAAGTGAGCAGAGACCACATAAAAAGGAATTTAAGATGCGACTTACCCGTAAGAAACACCCTAATGCAAGGCAGATCACAAATGAACTGTGCGTTCCCATCAGGTGATTTTGTGGCATCTTGTTCTCTCAAGTAGCTCAGGGTCTGTTTCTCTTTCCTAGCTTCATTGCATCCTTATCCACCCACTGACTAAGAGAAGGTGCAGATTTCTTGCTCTGTGTTGAATCCTCTCTCTGCTTCACACTCTACCTCTTCCTGACCTCCTTTGAGCTTGTCATGCTTCTCTGACCTTCAGATTCTTGTTTTTTCTCTTTACATCTTTATCATTCTGTTAAATCCTGCCTGTTTCTGCCTGCCTTCTTTTGTTATTCTCTTGGCCACCTTCTCTTCCTTTTATAGGGAATCTCTAAAACTTTCCAGTTAGAGCAGGAGAAGAGCGGTGGCTACAAGTTCTTACTTTTGATGTTGTATTAAGTCAGGAAAGGGTATTTTAAAATCTCTGCAGATCTGACCCTTCTGTGAGCAGACAGGGTCTCTGAATTTTTTCATTCCTATTTTTCCTTTCCCCGCCCCTACCCTAAGGGAGACTGGAGATATGTGAAGGTCATGTTAGTGACCTGGTTAAATGGAGATCAAATCCCTCTCCCTGCTCTGCTACCTTTTCTGTCCCTGTGTTCACATTGTCCTACCTCTACTGATTAAACTTGTTGACTTTACCCATATATCCAGTATCATGAGCCCATGTTAAAACTGAGATTATCCTGCTGAAGTAAAAGTTTGCAAAGAAAAACAGTTTTATGGAGAATTATATATGTATATGCAATATACATATGCAATGCCACTTGCATGTCCCTTTTTAAGGCTCTGCCATCATCCCATTCACCTTGAAGTTCCCCTTCTATGTCAGTCCTGCAACTCAGCCAGTCTTTTCACTCCTTTCTGACAGGCCCCAGTTCTGAACTTCCCCTATTGCCAGCCAAGTCCTCCAGGTACTTTACACTGCAGGACATGCATCTTATTTCATATATCTTGGATACCACTCTTCCTGCAGCAGGTTAAATTAGTACGTCCCTTTCAATGATCCACTATTTTTTTAATACTGGTCATGATTACATGTTATACTATATTCACCTTTTGTTTTGAATAACGATGATGGAAAAAATGTTCTACAGTAAAATGTTACTATTCGTATTCAAGAACCACCTGTGACTGGCATATAAATATATAATAAAGGCAGGRTAATCAGAAATTCAACACTACAGCAACTAGAGAGTCTTGTTGCTACATGCTGCAATAACAATGCATTCACATTAAGCTGGTAAATCATTAGCACTGGGCATGGAGCAGAACAAATGGGTTCATGAACGTGATGTATTCTCACAAGGTAGGCTAAAAACATTCACTGTTCTCTAATTATAAAAGTAGTGATGCAGTATAAATCTGTATTAGCATGAAATTGTTCATATGTTTATCAGTCTAACTACTTTTCCTAATCAAAATTGATCTGTTACTGGAAAGAGGTATCTTAGTTCCAAAGGACAAGTAACAAACACAGAAACATGAACTGTTTCGTGTTTATGTGGAGATTGAACTAGATTCTTTTTTTCTTAAATTCTTGTGTGTATTATAGGTATTTTTGAAGAAAAGATCCAGCAAAACTCTGAAATAAATTTTATTGCATGTACAGCATTTAACTGGTGGGGTTCAATGTGGACAAAATGTGAAATATATCAAAGTTTTTCAGAGACTTTTTGTTATGAATGTGATAAATCCCAACAAAAGACTACCAGTCAATTTTCAACTACAATTCTATCTGATGAAAATTCCAAATTTAGAAGGATAAGAATATCTCTAAAGATTTTTTAGATTTAAAGATGCTCAGGAGGACTGAGGCCTGAAACAGTGATCACTCTAAAGGCATATCATAACACATTAATGCTGAAACTTACTGATCATTCTTTTTCTACTTCTACGGCATTGTCATTAATATTGTGGTTCCAATAGTCCATTTATTGCACAGCTAGCCTATCATTCAACAGTACTTTAAGTTTCTCCATATTCACTTAATGGTTTGTCTCATTTATCTCATGATTTTATTTTTCTTTGATTTTGATTTATACTGAGTTTTTGCTTTCATATTTCCCCCTTGCCACTTTTCAAAAGGTTTTGAAAATATGACCAAACTTGCAGAACTGATAAAACAAATGAAATATTCCACCATTGACATTTCAGTGTTCTCTCCTGTTACTTAAAATCTAACAGTCCATTCCATATTTAGGTATGTGATTTGCACATATCTATCCTTACATATAAGAGAAAGCAGATTGCTGAATGGACAGGAAAGATTTCTATCCACTCAATTACCCTATTCATGGTACATGGAGTGTTGCAGATCAAACTTAAGCCCATTCCTAAGCTTCTCTCTGAGACAGCATGAGCTTCACTGGAAGTTGAGCTCCTCAAAGAGCTAAACAAATGCTGTTGTATTGCTCTTAGGAGCTGTTGAGAAATGGCTACTCGTTCCCTGTTACTCTTCAAAGGATGTTCTGTTAGAACCAGATTGATCAGTCGTGTCAAATCATTTCTCTCRGACATAGAGAAATAAAAAATATGGAATATATTTGGAACTTAAAAGGGTACCTGTTATTTTTACAGTTTTAGCAATACTTTGTTGAGGCTTTCTTGTATTTTTATCAGATGATGGTAATCAGGTAGGGCTATGCTTGCAAAATAAAACCAGATCTTTAATGACTGAGCTGCATACAAAGAAACAGTGTATCTGGTTAAGGTTCTTTCTCTACATACTTACCACTTGCATTTCATGCTTTTTCCATAGTCATAATAAAGATATTCTCAATTCTTCCCCCACTGTTTGAGACAATGAGACCTGGAACCCCTTCTGATTTAATTTGCTGAATATTATCACTGTGTATTAAAGCTAGGAAACACTCTCTCACCAGCTATCATCCACCCTCCCTGTCAGCTGGACAGCATCTATCACTTAGACATGGTCCAAAGCTAATGTCTGTTCCTCTTCAGCTTTCTTCTTACTTTCTACAGAAAAAAAAAAAGTATCTAAAAATGAATAACTGTATGGGTTTGTCCCAGGGATTGAGAGCAAGAGAATTCCATATTCCATTCCCATTACATTTCTGCATATACAGGAGGGTTAAATGCTATTTTGTGACTCCTTTCCAGAATATCCTGCTGCATATGCATACAAACAACCCTCTGAAGTTGTGTACTATACAGTCCCTTTATATCATCCAAAATGCATTTCTGACTTATACATGAATCACTCAGTTCTCACAACACTGTCCTTTTATTTGATCTCAGCCAGAAACATACCTCTGTTTCCTCTGTGGGATCAACTGAACCTTTGTATTCTGTAACCATGCCAGAAATGACTGAAGATGTTACATAAGTAGACTTGAATTTGATGACATTGGAAAACGCCCAAACTAGGGCTTCCAAGTTGCTGGATCAAAAAGTCATAGTGATACTGGGGACAGATCTCTTCAAGATAAATTCTCACCATCGAGGAGAGTATTTTTATGTGACACTCAGAATGTTGTCACCTACATATTGCAACTCAGCTTCTAGGAGACTTTGGACTCAAATCCAGTAATATAGAAAGAAGGAAAGAGATTAAAAAGAATGGAAGATTGAAAGATTTGGAAAAACTCTATGGACTTGAAAGGAAAAATATAATCAAGTTTATGGGATGCAGTTAAGTGGAGGTAAACATGTTCAGGTTAGATATTAAGTGCAATTTCGTGGAAGTTAGTGGAATAATTTGCCTAAGGCGTCTTGTAAAAGTCTTTTTGTTTTGCTCATTTAAATTTGACCRAGTGAATCAGCATGGAGTAAATGTGAGGGAAAAATTACAGGCTACCCATCAAAAGAAGGAACTGGTATAGAAATACCTCTCTTTCTGAACTTAAGTTCATAAAAATAATACTGTATGGCTTGACAGAGATAGTGAGGAATACAGCTGATGCCAAATCTGTACTGTATGCTATTTATTAGTGCTTTAGAATCCTTCTATAGGAAAGATACTAGAAAAAAAAAAAGAATTTTTATTTTGCACCAGCCTGAATAACCATCCGAATATTGATTTTATGAAGGTAGGAAATTGAAGAGCTCTTTTCTGAAAGAAATTTTCSCTTATTGGCTAGTCAGTAATTATCTCATTGTCTTTTTTCCCATGGGTCGTTGAGTTTTATGCTTCAATACTGAAATTGAATTCCCACTGCTCTAGTGGGTTCTTCTTAACCCTTAGGTTAAAGGATTAGCGAGTGCAGGAGATAAAAGGCAGAAATGTCACAGGTGGCAAAAAAGTGGCCCATGGATTCTGTACTATCTTCAGTAATTGCTGGGTGGAGATCTATATGGATCACATTATTGCTATCCTCGCTTTGCTTTTTGTAGCAATGAAAGTTATGATAGTACTGCAATATAACCAGGTAGTATTTTAATCCAGCCATGACATTTAACTCTATTTTTCATACAGATTCCTTGGCAGAATTACTTAAGCTGGCAGAATTATTTAAGAAAGAGGACCTGACTAGTCAAACTGGTCTAAAAGAGGTGGACTGTATTTAGGGTTTTTATTTAGTAATTATTCAGGTGAGTAAAAACATAAAGGATGAAGTAGGAGTGGTTTCTGGCTGGGGCAGGTGTTAATGTAAAGCACTGAGAAAAGGAGAAGAAATTATTATTTTCATAGAGTTCTATGAAACTGTATGGTTTTCTCCCCAGAGGATCATTCAAGAATCATTGCTTCACTGTAGTTAATTCTTCCAAGCAGCTTCCTAGGCTTACATTCCTTATTGTGAACTTATGAAGGGAGATGGAAGCAAAGAGGAAGTTTTAGTCTTTAATGGMACATCCATTACAAGGAACATTTTGAGAAAGATGCAAAACAAATAAACACAACTAAACATGTATTCAAAACTTTTATTTGCTAAAGATCATATCTCACACTGACAGAGGCTATGTCCTTTCTTGAAATACTTCTTCAGGTGAAATGAATAGCCCCTTTCTCACAGATCCAGAATTGCTCTGTTGAACAGGGATTACTGGTGTAAATTATCTGTCCATATAAGGAAGCACAGAAGATGTGTTCATATAACACAATCCTGGAAAATTAAAAAATACATCTTAATGATATTCCACTGATGTTATGTATTCTGTATTTGGGCCCTTTGTAATCAAAATGATTTACCTCTGAAATGTAGAGTTATTTACTCCTTGGATTATTTTATCTGTGCTAGGTAGTCGCTTATGTGCCTGTGATCCAGCTATATTTTGATATGCATTTTTCCTTATCCAGGAATATATGTTATACAAGACATATACAAGCATATCTATAAAAGGTACTACGACCTCTGTGCTCCTTACTCATAGCACAGGTAGCAAACACAGAAAAATAAGCAGAATCATAAGTTTAATATTTTTTACTGGGGCCTATTGACTAGAACCATCCGGTCATGAGTTACCAAGGCTTACCAAGTTGTGACTTCTCTCACAAGGACTGTCCCATCCTCCCAGTACCAGCCTTTCCTTTCAGAGGCATATGATAATCCAACCCAGTAAAACTGCAGATCCCGTGGCAGAGAGACCTGCGTCTATGAGAAAGTCAACATAGTATTTAAAAATAAAATGCAAGTTTCTGTATCTCACACTTGTGAAGGTTTAGCCACTAATGGAGACACTGATAGATGTAATGTAGAGAGGAAACTCAAATGCATGTGACCAATGAGAACTGCTCTGAGCTTTAGTTAGTCTGCCTATAGGTGTCTACAGTTTGGAGTATACATGGGAGCACTCCTTCAGTCCCAGTTAGAGTGAAGATCTGGCCAACAAAGCCAATAGAGCCTAAGCACATCACCAATAGGAAGTGTTACTGAATACTGAACTGAATTGCTCCAGCGACTGCGTTGGCTAGATTCAGAGGCTAACAATCATAACAGAGACTAAGTACCTCTGGGGTTGCTGACCACTTATACTGTGGATGCCGAAAACTAGGTAAGATGAAATACACCCAGAGTGCAGATTCTGTTTCCTAAACAGAGTCTCTCCTCCATGCTAATACTTCCAATTTATTGTTTAAAGACAAAATGTGAAGACCGTACCATCTTTGTTCTGTCTTTTAGCACCACCAGTGTGGAATTTCTTAAGGAACAGAACTCCTGGCTTTGCTTCCATGTTTTCTTCTGTTTTGAAATGTAGAAACAACTGTCAGCTCCACTGTTTTGCCAGCTTGCTGGACAGAGAGCGCATTTGGTTTCTAGAAATCAGAGAGACATTATAATGTAGATCAGCAAKGAATGGAAAGGCTTTAGCTACTGGTTTGACTGAGAAAAGAAGATTAAGGGTAGCCATAAATTAACTGAGATCTTCTTAGTCCTGTGAGATRCAAGTCACTGAATCACAGCCCGAGTGTTAGTATGCACATATTCATATTTTGAATATTGCCACAGCTGAAAATAGGCAATATCTGATCAGACACTTTCCCCATGGGTTTACATTGGCTCTACCAATGGACTCTGAAGGTGGGGTGATTTGAGTTTATTTACATAAATCGTATTTACCATTAGTCATATTGTTTTCCTTCCTTTCAGAACACAACATTTCCCTCATTTYTTGTAGCTTCTTTCCTTCCTCAGAATCTTTGGGAACCTGAAAAACTGAAAMAAATACTTTAGAACAAAAATGCTCATCAAATTTCTTTTTCTTTTTAATGAATTTAAATTGTAGCTTTTGAGGTTCTTTAATTTCTTGTCGGCCTTATTTACATATCCARTGCTGTATATACTGCATTTGGTTTTCTAATGGGAACATCATGAAGAAGATAGATGGTTCTGATGAGAGCTAATTAACCAGGATTAATCCTATCATTGTCTGTCCTAATTCTGGAAATGGTGGAAAAGCAAACAGTGGTTGGCTAGCCATCAGGGCTGCATTTATTCCTGCCATATGAGATGTCCAAACTATGCACATTTACCTTCTAGTGGCATAAATGGGTGATTGTATTTAGAGGTGAACAAAATCACTTAATCAAAACTGACTTTCAAAGGGACATTTGATATTTGACCAGACATGATTTGTTACTGCAGAGACTTCTTACAATAGAAGGGAAGGAAAGAAGGAAAGATGGGAGGAAAGAAGGGAAGAAGAAAGGGAGGAGGGGAGGAAGGAAGGAAACAATTCAGTCAARTACTGATTAATTGCAACTAGATTTAATAGCTGCCTGCAACTACTTGAAGAGCAATCACAAAGATGAGAGTCAAATACCTCTGAATTAGCTGCAGAAGATATAACAATGGATGTTATTGCCCAAGCCCACTCATTGGGCTTGGGATATTCAGTTTGGACTCTTGGAACGGTTCCTCAGCGGAGGGATAGTGCAGGTTACCGACTATCTAGGCACTGCCTAGGGCACCTACAGCCTGGGAGATGTTGAAACTCATCAAGGCAAGGCTTAATTTAGGGTCATATAGGGTGAGTGACAGGCCCATTCTGCATGGGGCTGGATGAGAAGGATTAATTCTGTCATCATTAATTCTGTCTGTCTAATTCTGGAAATGGTGGAAAAGCAAACAGAGCTGGCTTTGAGCCAACATTTCCCACATGCTATGAATCRCGACCTGGTGTTCTTTCTGGTCACTTCCCACTACTTCCCTGCTCCTTCACTCATTATCTCTGCTTCTAGATACAGTGTGGAACCATCTTGTTCAATTGAATGCTTCTAAGAAAAACTTACTGTAATAGATGGGCAATGCACAAATTACTGCAGTTTGATGCCAAGATTTTTCTCACTGCAGAAAAGGTTGCAATCCAAGAAAGACATCTAAAGCTGATGATAAAACTTGCCAGTATCAGTCACACGGAGGCACTGTTGGTCAAGYAGTGCAATTGACAAGTTGGAACTCATATACTTCTGACCATGAAACCAAAGTGTTTGAGAAACAATAGCAGGACTTTTCAAGTCTTGGTTACTCCCATAAGTGCAGCTTAAGTTGATAGTATGTGAATATTGTTAAAATTGGTAGTTTATCTCATGGTCAATGTGGAATGAACTAGAAGTTATAAATACAGATCTAAGTGATCCGGAGGATTTGATCTGACACACAATGAAAGGAGTTATTGCTTGTAGGAGGGCCTCGTTGTTTGCATTTTTCCTATATTACTTCCATAGATATTTGCAWGGTCAGTGTGCAGGGAGGAAGATAAAGTAGCCATATTGCTAGAGCTCATAGATTTAGAATTAACTCAGGAGGTCATGGTACTTACASAGGGCCAGCAGAATTACCAGCCCAATTAGCAGCACCAGAGACAAAGTGAAGAAAATGAAAGCCACTGGTCGCCAGATGGAAACTGAGGAAGATACTCCTAGGACAACGCAACAAAGAAAACAAAAACAATAAAAAATCATCAATAAAGAGCATCATTCCTCACGATTAAGTTATATTACCCCCCCTTTGATATCACTCATCCACCTTTAGCATATTCTGCAGAGCCTCATTTTTCTTTAGTGAGAATTTTTTATCATTGCTCTGAATTTCATGGACTTTCTTTTTCCTTGAGAAYTTTCTATATATCCACTAAGAATATTTTCCAGGTGAGGCTCTGGTGTTTTAGAAACATACCCTTTTCATAAGATAGGCAACCAGATTAGATTTTGAAGTTCCCACAGTCCTGGAAATAACAAAATGAAATAAGAGATTTCTCAACTTCAAAGGGGAAAAATTGCTATCTAGTGTCAAAACACTCTTGATCATGTATAAAATTAATTCCTGACTCTGAGATTGGCATTTATAAATGTCTACAATTTTTGAATGTTAAACTCAATCTTTCTTCAGGTTCCTTCTTTAAATTTCAGTTGTGGTCCAGTGTATTATCTGGAATATAATTGCCAAAATTTCCCAGCTGACTATCCCYGAATTAAAATATTTTCTTCCCTTTTTTGTTTCTTTTGCAGAGCAGTACTCTGCTGTAATTTCTATATATAGAAAATAAGTATTCTATAAATATATAGTATTTGTGTAATATATAAGCATTTGTGTAATACTCCTTTATAGCTATTCTCCATTATTCAGGTTAACTAAATATTATAGACATTATCTGACATTATACTATTATCTGAGTCATGTTCCTCACAGCAAATATCTCCAGAGGTCAAACCTTTTGTAATATGCAAGAATCACYCTGCAGAGGTGCCTCATATGCCCAGACAGGGCATCTAAACTTACATAGCCGGAGTTATGGATGATGCCCATAGCCCTTGTCACTTTAGGTAATTTCAAGAGAATGCAAATGACCAGAAAGTGGAGGATAATGATCTGATGGAGGGTAAGACCTCCATGTAAAGGGACCTACATATCTTAGAAATGAACTGTAAGTGCAACAGAGTTCAAGAAAAAAGTCCTAAACCTGAAGCAGTAGAAGCCCATCTAACAGTACAGGTTGGGACTGACTTACTAGATCTTCAGGGTGTTAGTAGAGAAGTTGAACATGAATCACTCATGTGCCCTTGTGGCAGTAAAGTCTAAGCAACACTGGGCTGCACGAGCAAGAGCGTAATCAGCAGCTCAAGAGGTATGATTATTCCATTCTACTTGACACTCCTAAAGATGAAATCTGGAGTACCATGCCCAGTGCYGGGCCTCCTGGTTGAGGAGAGATATCAGTCAACTTGACCGAGTCCAGGAAAGGGTCACTCAGATGATTGGGGCCTAGAGAGAGAAGCTGAAAGACCTGGGTTTGTTTAKCCAGGGGAAGAGGAGATTGAGGGATGATCTATTTTCAGTCTTTTACTAAAAGTAAATTATAGAGAAGATGGAGCAAGGTTCTTCTCAGAGAGGTGCAGCGAAAGGACAGAACATGCCAGTTGCAAATTAGATCTAGCAAACTACTGATTAGGTATGGAACAGGTGAGCAGAAAATAAATGTTTCCCTTAAGAGTGGTTCAGCACTGGGCTGAGTGTCCAGAGAAGCTGTCAGTTCTCCATTCCTGGAGATTTCTAAAATTCAAGTAAATAAATCCCTGAGTGACTTCATGAGACTTTGAAGCTATTCTTTTTGAGAAGGAAAAAAAAAAAAAAGTTGGAATAGATTAACTCTAGAGGTCCACTTCTACCTATCTTTTTTGAGTTAATGAGACTATCATCTACTTTACATTACTGTGTATAWCAAGAGGCTATTAAGGAACTTTCCCATAATGCCACCCCTTTTCTGCCTCACTGACTCTACTGTTAGGGTCACAGACCCTAATATTTCACCCTTAGGTTTTTAGCTGCTGCTTCTCAACAGCRTACTCATCCTCCCTTTTAATCATCATTCTTAATGCATAGCCCTGTATATTATTCAAACAGCACCAAAGTAATGTGTTGTTGTCTACTTCACCCACACTGTGAATAGCAACGAAAGATAATTATTCCACACAAAAGCAACCTGCTAGATTTTGGAGCAGCAGAAACTGTATTAAAGTCATCATTTTATAAACTCAGCAATCCACAGGCACAATTCAAGACATTAGTTAACAGACCATTTAAAGAAAAGTTATAAGCATAAACACATAAAAATATACTCCTGTCATAACCGGTGCCATGGTTCTCTTTGCCATGGTTCTATTTGCCATGGCTGAGCAAACAGCTTCAGCTTCAAGGCAGACATTTTCAAATAAAATTATAGCATTTTTCTCTCAATTTCCTTGCTGTTACAAAGGAGTCTGACCAAAATAATAAAACCTATAACAAAGGCAGTATTTATATTCAATCTCRAAGTAAATGGAGAAATAAATGGAGTTTAGATCTTAAAACCTTCAGAAAAATCTCTGATGATAACCTATAATGCAAGATGCCATTATCATCACTCCCACCACTGTTTCTGTGACCATTTATGTAAGAATATATTATAAAGTTAGAAGGATTCTAGATCAACTAATGTGAGCATGTTATGTCCCAGTTTCAAGTTATGTCCCAAGTTATGTCCCAGGTTAGATAAAGAATTTAGGAAATACTTACTGTCTACTGTAACAAAACTGCCTGCAGCATTAAATGCAGAACTTTTGTTGTTACTTGAATATCKATGAGCAGTAACTGAAGTTGAAGTTTGCAAATTTAAAGTGGTATAGCCTTCCTCATCCTCCATCTGTGCTTCGTTACAGCTCTTTCATGAGATAGCTCTGTTTTGATAGCAAGGGCACACTGCAGCAAGACCAGTGAGGAAATAATGAAAATGACTGATATTTCAATGTTTCTAGTGAAACCACAAGGGAAGCTGTCTCTGAGCTGATTACTGTATGACAGTAACACTTTTAAGTATTTTTAGAAATTAAAGTGATACTGTGAAGAACAAACATTTGCTTGAATGTGAAGATCAGGGAATCTTGATTCCTGACTGAAACCTAAGGTTGTTACTTTTATATCCAACTTATCTGACTATAAATACATAGCAAACACTAGGTTTTCTAATTCCTTAAAATAAGATGCTCTATAAATACTTATTATTTTGAGYTAAGGTATGAAAAATAACTTTTCAGGGATCTGAGCAAATACATCATTGCAAGTGTACTTAAAACAAAGGGGTGCATCACCATACACCACTGTGAAAGACATGAAAAACAGCATTATTTTGCAAATATTCACTGAAACAAATACTACAAATACCATTTACTYCTCTTTATTTCTGTGCCATGCTCCTCTGTATTTCTCTGTGCAGATTTTGTCTCTAAACTACTTATCAGGATGTGGGAAGAGAACTGCTTAGGGAAAATCCCCATTTTTTGAAGCTGATAAAATAATCAAATAGGATCTATAAGGCAAGTAGCAACTGGAAAGGATTAGAGTATTTGAGTAGTGAAGAAAGACCGACGGGGCTGTTTATGCAGTTTGGTCCTGAATTCTGGGGTTTCAAAATAAATGTTATCTGTTGTCACGTGTAACAAAGAGCTGTACTCACAGAAAGTGAAAAGCTAGACAACTAGTCAGTTTATATTTATGTCCTATGAAGCACGATATTTTAGAAGGAAAGGTCGTAACTGAAAACAGATGAACAATGCATAGGAAAAGAAGACCCTTTGTAGACCAGGCATTTCTTTTCTGGAGATTGTCAGGTAGGACAAGGTGAAAAGAAACCCTTGGGCAGAAAAGAGGGTGAGGAAATAGGGTGCTGAGACAAGAAAGTAAGCAAGATTCAAAATGARGAGATTGAGAAGAAAAGCTGAGCTRAAAGGATGATGAAACCAGGAATTTAGCAGGGTTCACTCAGCCTGGATTGAAGAAAAACCAGGCAAGACTGTAGATATTCTGCTATTGAAAAATGCTCAAGGGCAGATATGACTTATCTGCCCTCACTCTTCTCATCTCCACAAGGATCGTTCTAGTGCCTTATTCCAATGCTGAACTCTATTTCTAATACTCAGATTTTGACAATATACAGCCAAGTAAAAAGTTTTCAAGAAAAGATTATTTTCTAAGCGATTGTTATTATCCAAAGACTGTTGTAGGGAAAATTTTGAAACAGCTGGTCTGAGACCATGAGATAGAATCTGTTAGAGCAATAGCCAAATACTAATTAGAATCAYAGAATTGTAGAATCATTATGGTTGGAAAAGACCTTTGAGATTGAGTCCGACCACAAGCTCCTCAACACCATACTTGTTAAACCATATCCCTGAGCGCCTCATCTACACATTTCTTGAACAAGGAATTGCCAGGAATGGTGACTCCAACTCTTCCTTGGACAGTCTGTCTCTGCTTTGATGATGAAATTTCAGTGAATCTACTTCAGGCAGAAAGGCAGATAGGAAAACTCCTTAATGAAAAGGGAAATAGAAGAACAGATAATTCAAGGAGTTTTAAATCCTTATTCATTATGCTTTTTGACACTGTCACTAGCACCATTTCAAGTTGTAAAACCGTAAATGCRGATGACAAAAGTTGAATGTCTGGAGTTTATGGTACAATTTTTGTGATTGAGTGAAAAAATGAATGGAGCAGAACTTGCATGAYTGATGTAATGCGCATGATGTTTCTTTACAGTAACTCGAATTTCATCAAAGTTAGGAGTGCCATGAATTATGAAAATGAGCAAGAGCACGAATTAATCATCATTTTTACTGCTGGTTCTGGTGAGTAGATTTTAACATAATTGAGACTTAGGTTTTGTCTTAGCATGTTTCTTTTTGTATAACCTGAAAATTAACATAAACACTTTTTATATTAATGATGAAACAAAAATGACTAATTTAAACAAACAAACAAACAAAATCTTTAAAAAGCTGGATTAACTATATGGATTGAACAATAGAAAAATATGTTGTAAAACAAAATATCCAGAAAGAAGCTAATGTTTCTAGAATCCTAACAGTTATTTACTCAAACTCTGAGCATTCTTTTTGAGYTACAGATGCCTTTTGTTTTTGTCAGATTAACTAACTAGGCCATACTGATCAGATAGAGAAAACACTTTTGGAAAGACTACCACAGCCAAAAATGTCATAAGTTTTAATACTCAAACAGTTTTTGTTGTTCATAGAGGAAAATGCTAAAAACTAATATGATCTCTTGTTTTTCAAAAGTGTGCTTGTGTTTGGAACTGTCATTGCTAAAAACAAGTTTAGTTATAAATACTTAAAGTAATTCATTAGTTTGTGCACCAAAATAAATTTGAAATTTTTGAAAGTTCTACTCTYAGTCCTCATTTTAGTGATTCAAGTATTTCAGCTTGCAGAGTCCATTCACTGACGTGAAGGGCAACTATCACCCAGCAACTCTGAATATTACATATTCTCATAGATATTACGAAGCTTAGCACCTTTAAATTTATTTATAGACTATTATAATCTAATGATAGCCTATTATAATCTAATGCTAAACTAATACTCCTGACTATATTAGGTTATAAAGGTAGAAGAGAAACCATACATAAGGTGTAAAATAAAGCACTAATGTAAGACCTATACAATTATATTTTTCTATGGTGATTATTTGTCTCTTCTCCATTTCTTAACAAATTCTTATACAGAGTGATGAAACGGAGGGCTCTGTGAAGAATAAAAAATGGTATAAATGTGAGAATTCTAACTGGCAGCATGCAAGCAACTGGCTTCAACAAATTGTTGGATATGAAAAAGCCTTTCTGGTAAATTTTTCAGTATATATTTTTTGTGCTGTATCAGAAAATGATGATCTGGTGGGCTATGAACATTGTCATTTGCCAATGCTGAGTGCAAATATGGGAACAATTTCTTGTCTAAATCTGAGATATGTAGAAAGGCTTTTATTCTTTATAAGCAAATGCAACTATAGTTCACTCCTCTGAAAGGGCTCAGGTAATGGAATAATAGAAATAGGATGAAATTCAAAAATATATATTGAAAGGACAGGTATTTGGGAATTGGTAGACAGAAACTTCCGATACAAGCYGAGAGCTTATGTTTCATTAATACCTCAAACAGGAAGGGACTTGAGTGCTTTGAGTGTGACTAGGAACCACAAATATGGCTTCATTTTAGAAAATGTGTCTGTGAAAACCTCRTATTAATTGCATCAGAAGAAGTGTTAGAGGCAGATATAGCAAACTTTAAGTGCTCATATAGAAAGCAACTGTGGCACCACACCCAGAATACTTGACACTGTTCTGATTTCCAGCTATCAAGAAGGGTATGGTCTTTTTGRAATGAGTAAAGGGAAGGGGGTATCTGTAAGAACAGTGAGATGTAGTGTCTGTCATAATGATAGAAAGTGCTTATGACTTTTATTTCCTAACTAAATGAAGACAAGAAAGGAGACTACTGAAGAACACATACTAGTAAAGGACTATAATCTGGTGTGTGAACATTTTATAGGTGTCACCTAGAAGAAAATGTTGTAACAAGTAAAATTTTGTAATAGATCTCACATGGCAGTACTGATTAATAATCCATTTAAATTATGCCAATAATAACTCTCCATGTAATCTATACACTTTGATCCTCCCTTTTGGAAAAAAGTAGGCCTTCCTCAAGATACAAATTGATAGACATGCATAAAGTTTATGAGTTACTATTGTACTCATAAACATAAATGGAAAAATCAAAAATCAAATATCAAGAGAAAGATCCATTCAATTAAAGGCCCTTTTTGCTACAGCACAAACCCACTATTACAAAAATAAAAACAGTGAAACAAAAAATCCCCAGTCCCCCCAAAACTATAGCAAAATTATCTGCATTCCTGAATCTATCAGCTGCATATCTAGAAATATATATAATATGCTGCAGTTGGTCCACCATATATTTTCAAAATACCTATGGAATGCATTCTTGTTTGCTGGAATATGCACAAGGCCAGTAAGCTAGAGTGAATCAAATCAGCTGTTCTCCTAGAACAACAATCTATTTTTAATCTCTCACTTTTAATGATAAATGTAAATGAATGAAAATATCTGCCAAAGATGAAGAGAAATAAAATTATGCAAATYGACTAATTACTAAGAAAACAGAGAATCAACAGAGAAACAAGTAATTTCTTGATAATCACAAACATCTCCATGCACAATAATTTGTTCATTGCTCGTCCTTCCTCTCCTGATGAGAATAGTACATTGTGACCACTAAAAATTTGAATGACAAGTCAGGACAGTCAAGAAGGTCAAGGTCTTATAGGAAAGACCACCTCTCATATGAAACAGCAGATAGAATTAGATGAGCACTGAAAATAAATACTTTAAGGCATCTACAATTCAAGACAAGTCCAAGAATATCAAGAACAGGACTGTATTGCCTTCTAACCTACAAATATCTGCTTTGGGACTGGCACTGCCAAAAAAAAGAATCTGGAGCCATTCTGGCAAAAGTTAAGACAATAAAAGGGCAATCTGTATCCCAAGGAATAAGACTGTATCACTACAGTGGCACAAATCACTAAATGTTTCCTGTGTTAGTGCAAATGGCATCTTGCCCTGATGTGTAACCATAATAATCCTGGATCATACTATTGTGTTGAAGCTGGATCATATTGTGTTGAAGCTCTCTGTTTCTTGCTTAGGCTGCACCAGAGCAAGTAACAATTGCAGTTCCTCAGGGAACACAGGGACTCCACCTGCTCTAGTCCCTTCCATAAGACTGCTGTGCACAAAGAGGAAGGAGGCCCTTTAGTTGTCGTCCA